TGCTTTCTCCCTATATTATGTTCTTGATGTCAAACCAAAACTCCTCTGGTCTTTGGTAATAAGTGTCTAATGCATCAAATCTGTTCTTGAGATGATCTCTAAATTCAGGTGGAATATATTCAAGGTCATATTTTGGCTCTTGTGGACTTATTTTAAGTTTCTTCAGCTTCAACCTGAACTTGCATATGAGCAATTGATGATCTATTCCATAGTCTGTCTCTTGGCCTTGTTTTGGCTGATATTATGGAGCTTTTCCATCATCTGTTTCCACATATGTAGTTAATTTGATTTCTGTGTAATCCATCCGGAGAGGCCCATGTGTGTAGTCAGTTAAGTTTTATAAAAAGGTATTTGCAATTAAGTTATTGGTCTTGAAAAATTCTATCATGCAATCTCCAGCATCATCTCTATTACCAAGTTCATATTTTCCAACTATTGATCCTTCCTCTTTGTTTGCAACCTTCGCACTCCAATTGCCAATAATTATCAATACATCTTGATGGCATGTTTGATCAATTTCAGACTGAAGAAGTTAGTAGAATTCTTCAATTCAAACAATACTGGCTTTATTGTTGAAAATTTGAATAATAGCTGCATAAACTAGTCTTTGTCGTAGGCATATGGATATCATTCTATCAGAGAAAGCATTATACTTCAAGACAGATCTTGAAATGTTCTCTTTGATGAATACAATACTATACATCTTCAATTTATTATTCCCAGCATAGCAAACTATGTGATTGTCAGATTCCAAGTAGCCAATACCAATCCATGCCAGCTCACTAATGCTTAGGATATCAATATTTATACATTCCATTTCATTTTGACAACTTCCGATTCTCCTAGATTCACGCTTTATACATTTTGTAATGTTTATGTCTGTTTCGTCTCATTTTGAGTTTTGCCCCATCAGCACATGAAGGTCTCAATAGCTTTACTCCATTTGCATTATCATGGTATCTCTACTTTAAGGAGGCAGCTCTTCGCCAGTTTTATTTTCAGTGCCTTCCAACCTGAGGGATTCATCTTCTGGCACTATATCTGACTATAATCTGGTGCTCTTCATCATGTTTCAATATTCAGTATTCTGGTGCTATCTGACAGTGTTCCACAGCTATTCATAAGTTTTCCCGTAACCAAATATTCTAAAGTAGTCCATCTCTTAGTCTGGAAGCTCAACTGAAACCTGTCCACCATGGGTGGCCCTGCTGTTATTTGAAATACTGGTGGCATAAGCTTCCAGAATCACAGCAACACACAAGCCACCACAGTACAATATACAGACAAGTGGTAGTGTCGCAGGTTAACCTATGAAAATATTCAACCTCATAATAAGTGAAGTAATGCAAATTTAAAACAAAGATATATTAGCAGTTTGTTTTTTTTTTAAATGCCATCTGCCTACATGACTGATTGGAGTTTAAATTAGTATCTAGACAGGACAATTTGGCAATGTCTGCCAAAAGCCTTCCAATATGTGCAAAATCTGTACTAAGCAGAATCTAAGGACGAATCAAAGATGTCGGCAAAGATGGGGAAGACCATCCAGCATTTACTGAGTTTTTACCCTGTATGAAGGAGCTCTGGTAGCGTAGTGGTTACGAATCGGGCTGCTAACCTCAAGCTTGGCAGTTCAAAACAACCAACTGTTCCGTGGGAGAAAGATGAGGCTTTCTGCAGCCTCAAAAACCCTGTTCAGGGTCACTATGAGTCGGGACCGACCCCACAGTACATTCTGTGGTGGTGGTACCCTGTATGAGGCCACAAGCTACATATTTTATATTCATTTCAATTTAATCCTCAGAAACACCTTGTGAAGCAGGTATGTTCTTTATTCCCATTACCAATGAAGGAAATGAGGCTTAAAATTTAAGCAACCCAGAGAAACAGTGACACCAGAGATGGAGGCAGAGATGATGACGTGAAGAGATGGAGCGGCTGGAAACTCTAGACCCAGAGAGGGAAAGGGGCTGTGTGTTGATGACCAGGGGGCAGGCTTGCAGGTTGGTTGATGCTGCATGGAGGATTGTAACCATGGCAATGTAACGATACACAATAGGATGAATGTAAAACTAATCGTTCTCCCATGTAAATTATCACATAATTCATAATAAAACATTTAAAAAAAAAATTTAAGCAGATTACCTAAGGCCACCAAATAAGTAAACAGAGAACTTAGACCTTAAACCCATGTCTCTGACTCCAGAGTCCACATTTACAACTGGGTGCTTGAGGGTGCGTATTGCAGTCCTGCTTCTTCTTGTTGTTGGATGCTATCAAGTCATTTTCAACTTATCACAACCCACATGACAGAGTAGAACCAATTATCCCTTAGGGTTTTCTTGGCTGCAAGACTCCATGAAATGCAGCCACAAGGATCATTTTTAGAAAAGCCAACTGTCAAGTCTTGCCAGGACTTACCAGGCCTTGCTCCTGCATATCTGCTATTGGTGTTGTTGTTTGCTGTTAGGTGCTGTTGACTTGGCTCTGACTCATAGCAACCCTCCGCACAACAGAATGAAACACTGCCCAGTCTTGCACCATCCTCACAATTGTGGCTACACTTGAACCCATTGTTGCTGCCACTGTGCCAATCCACTTCATTGGGGGGTCTTTCCCTTTGTCATTGTCTGTCCACTTTACCAAGCATGATGCCCTTCACCAGGAATTGGTCCCTCCTGATAACATGTCTGAAATATGAGAGACAATGTCTTGCCGACCTGATTTCTAAGGAGCATTCTGGCAGTAATTCTTCCAAGACATATTTGTTTGTTCTTCTGGCAGTCCATAGTACTTTCAATATTTTTCTCTAACACCATCTAAAATGTATCAATTCTGCTACAACCTTCCTTTTTCATTGTCCAACTTTCAGATGCATTATGAGGCTACTGAGCATTGAATATTCAATAGCCCCCCGATAGGGTTCAAACAGCCAGCCTTTCAATTGTTGTTGTTATGAGCTGTCGAGTCAGTTCCGACTCATAGCGAACCTGTACAGGATTTCCAAGGAGCAGCTGGTGGGTATGAACTGTTGACCTTGTGGTTTGAAGTCCAGTGCTTATCCTACAGCACCACACCAGAAATCCTAGCCTTTCAATTATGGCTTAACTATGTGTGCCACCAGGGCTCCTTCAGTACTGCTTACAGTGGCAAAAATATGGGGGAGGGGACTAAATGTTTAACAATGTGTAATTGACTAGGTAAACTATGTATCATCCAAATAAGAAAACACCTTAACATTAGTAGTATCATTAAAACATGCTTAAGTGCATTGCCAAGTGAAACATGGCGACCATAAAACAGTATTCCAATATGCTCCCATGTCCTATGCATAAATGAAAACCAGGAAAGAAATCATCGAGAATGTTGAAGCAATAAATATTGGTTTTGACTGTTTAATAGGCCTGTGTTAAGTGTGATCTTCCTGCACCCTTTGCTGACAGTCAGTGTGGGTCTGCTTTCTCATCCCAGCAGCTATGGGAGTTCTCTCCTCAGTGCCCTCTGTGTTCTTCCAGAAAAACTGCACTCCCACCACCCCACCCCCTGGAAAAAAATAAGGCAGGAGCCTAAGACCACAGTTGTAAACAATCTTGTTTTGAGTCCATTGTCTTTGACTTTTCATTGTGCTGCCTTTGCTCTTGGTTTCAGTAGGAAGGGAGACGCTAAAATACAAAAAGGACTGAGCACCACAGTATGAATCGAGTGTGTAAAACAAGAGCCTAGACTAGCAAGACAAGGAAAGGTGATGAGTGAAGCAGACCTGGAATGAGAAAAGCAGCCCACTTACACTCCTTTTCCTGCTTTTGGTTTCTCTCCTCTAAGAAAACACACCAAAAGGTCAGAAGTTCAAACCCACCAGCTGCAAAGTGGAATAAAAATGAATCTGTCTGCTTACCTAAAGATTTACAGCCTCATAAACCCCTATCTACTGTGTGGATCATGACAAGCTATAGACAACATTGAGAAGTATGAGTATTCCAGAACACTTGTTTGGGCTCATGAGGAATCTGTAACTGGACCAAGAGGCAGTGGTTCGAACAGAACATGGGAACACTGAATGGTTAAAAATTAAGAAAGGTGTGCAACAGGATTGTGTTCTTTCACCATACTTATTCAACCTGTATGCTGAGCAAATAATTCGAAAAGCTGGGTTATATGAAGAAAAACGTGACATCAGGACTGGAGGAAGACTCATTAACAACCTGCGATATGAAAATGATACCTTGCTTGCTGAAAGTGAAGAGGACTTAAAATATTTACTGATGAAGATTAAAGAGCACAGCCTTCAGTATGGATTGCATCTCAATGTAAAGAAAACAAAAAACCTTGAGATTAGCAGTCCGATTTGCAACCACTATGCTATCAGAGATCCTTAGTAAACCATATGATTCTCCAATTCAAAATGGCCAATATCAGTCCATCTCAGCTCACTAATGCCTAGGATATCAATCTTTATGTGTTAATTTTCATTTTTGACAACTTCCAATTGTACTAGATTCATACATTGTACATCCATGTTCTGATTATTAATGAATATATGTATGCAGCTGTTTCTTCTCATTTTGAATGAGAGGAATTTAAAGTCTACTCATTTCCCCATCAGTAAATAACTGTTCCAAAAGCTTTCCTTCATTTATATCATTAAGGTCAACTCTACTTTGAGGAGGCAGCTCTTCCCCAGTCATATTTTTAGTGTCTTCCCACCTGAGGGGATCATCTTCGGGCTCTATCTTTGACAATGTTCTGCTTCTATTCATAACGTTTACAATGGTTAACCATTCAGAAGTGGTCCACCTCTCCTTCTTCCTAGTCTGTCTTAGTCTAGAAGCTCTGCTGAAACCTGTCCACCAGGAGTGACCCTGTTGGTATTTACAACACTGACAGCATAGTTTCCAGCATCACAGTATGACACAAGGCACCACAGTATGACATCCTGACAGAACAAAACAATTAGAACTGAAATCATGAGAATTTGGATACAATAACCAATGTTATTGAATAATATATGTAGAAATTGTTGAATAGAAATCTGTTTTTCTGTGTATACATATCTACCAAAAAATACAATAAGATATTATTTCACAAAAAGAGAGAATGAAATCTTACATTAAAAATCTCACAATGCCCTGGCAGGTCTGGGTTTCTCTCAGTATCACTTTTTCCTTACTATTTCCCCACTAGAGATGCAAAGGTAACTCCTAACTTACCTTCACAACTGGATTTAATCATTAATTTCTTTGAGAAGTTTTTGACATTCCCTCTATCACCCCTTCCAAATTGGGTTAGAAGCACACCCAAAAAATGACCTCCAAAAATATCCATGTCCCTATTAATGGGAACTGTGACTGTTATCTTATATGGTAAAAGAGATTTTGCAGATGTGAATAAATGAGAGATTTCATAAAAAGGTTATTGTAGATTATCTAAAATAGTAGCTCATTGCAATTACAAATGTTATTATACACAAAAGAAAGAAACCTTGGTAGCACTGTAGGTTAGGCATTGGCAATTCAAACCCACCAGTTCCTCTGCAGGAGAAAGATGAAGTTGTGTAACCCCTTAAAGATTTACATCCTTGGAAACCCTGTAGAGGGTCATTATGAGTAAGAATATATCCACAACAGTGGATGAATTTGGATCCACAAAAGAAGGAGCCATGGTGGAGCTTTAGGATAAGCACTAGATTGCTAACTACAAAGAACTAAAAGGTTGGCACTTCAAATGCACCAGCCACTCCCGTATTTATAGCTTCTGAAACCCTATATAGGGTCGCTGTGAATTAGAATGGACTCAGTGACCCTGGATTGGTGAGTAAGTTGGTTGGTACATACAGAAGAGGAGCACACAATGTAGGTCTAGAAGTCATAGTGGAGCAAAGTAATCAAAAGCAAAGAATTTCAGCAACTACCAGAAACTGGAAGACACTTAGGGATCACAGCCCTGCAGACACCATGGTTTTGGCCCAATACTGCTTAATTTGGACATCATAGTGACCCTATGTACAGCAGAACAATTGTTGTTAACACTTGAGCCCTTCGCTGCTGTCACTGTGCTGATCCATCTCACTGGTGATCTCCCTATTTTACAATGATTCTCAACTTTACCAAGTATGATGTCCCTCTCCAGGGACTGGTCCCTCCTGATAATATGTACAAAGTATGAGAGACAAAGTCTGGCCATCCTGGCTTCTAAGAAGCATTCTGATTGTATTTCTTCCAATACAGATTTGTTTCTTCTTCCAACAGTCCATGGTACTTTTAATATTCTCCTCCAACATCATAATTCAAATACTTCAACTTTTCTATGGTCTTCCTTACTCACTGTCCAAATTTCACAAGCATATGAGGTTATTGAAAATCCTCAAACTGACATCTTTGCTCTACAACGTTTTAAAGAAGTCTTGTGCAGTAGATCTGCCTAGTGAAATACATCATTTGATTTCTTGACTGCTGCTTCCATAAGTGTTGATGATAGACCCAAGCAAAATGAAGTCTTTGACAACTTCAACCTCTTCTCCATTTATCATGATGTTATTTATTGGTCTAGTGGTAAGGAGGTTCAAGCCAGATTCAGACGACCATTTGGCACAAGTGATATCATAGCAGACATCAGCTGGATCTTGTCTGCAAGCAGAGAATACCAAAAAGATATTTAATTGTGCTTTATTCACTATGCAAAGGCTACCAACTGTGTGGATCATAGCCAACCATGGACAGCATTGTGGAGACTGAATATTCCAGAACACTTAATTGTGCTCATAATGAACCTATACATAGACCAAGAGGTAGTCTTTCTAACAGAATTAGGGGACATTGAATGGTTTAAAATCAGGAAAGGTGTTTGCCAGGATTGTATTATTTCACTTTATTCAATCTGTATGCTGAGCAAACAAACAGATAAACTGGATTATATGAAGAAGAATGTAGCATCAGGATTGGAGGAAGACTCATTGGTAACCTGCGATATGCAAATGATACAACCTTGCTTACTGAAGGCAAAGAGGACTTACAATACTTGCTGATTAAGATTAAAGACCACAGCCTTCAATATGTGTTGCATCTCAATGTAAATAAAACAAAAATAATTATGATCTATATATGTTGTTGTTGTGAAGTGCAGTCAAGTCGGTTCCGACCCATAGCAGCTGGTGAGCCTGAACCGCTGAACTTGCAGTTCAAATGGCTCTATATATAGATATTATTATTTCTACCATTCTACAGAATTGGAGTCCTCATGTGATGCTGTGGGTTAATGTGCTGGCCTGCAAAGTCAGCCTGAACTGCAAGGTCAGTGGTTTAAGCTCACCAGCTGCTCCTCAAAAACCCTATACAGGGTCACTGTGGGTCAGAACTGACTCGATGGCACTGAACAATGACAACAGAGTTGGAAGATAACTCAGTGATGGCAATAGTTTGTGCTCAACTGCTGATTTAAAAGTTGGCCATTCTAACCTACCCAGCTATACTATGAGAGAAAAATCCTGGTGATCTTAAGATTACAACCATTAACACCTTATGGGAGCAGACCAGCCTGGAACAGCTACAGTGAGAGAAAATATATCTTCAAAGAAAGATCATCAGGAAAAACCCAAAACAAAAATGTCAGCATGACTGGCTACTACAAGAATAAGCAAGCTGTTCATCAGGAAGACATCAAGGCTAG